AGGAGGAGGAGGAGGACGAGGACGAGGAGGAGCGAGGAGGTAGGGGGGGGGAGAAGTAACCAGGGAGGAGTGAGAACGAGGACCACAGGAGGAGGAGGTCAAAGGAGGAGTGAGAGGCGTAGGAGGAGGAGGAGTAAGCGAGGAGGAAGAATGAGAGAGGAAACACCAGGAGGAGGAAGGACGACAAGACGAGGAGGACGAGAAACGAGGACCGACCAGGAAGAGAGGTAGGAGGAGGGAGGCAGGAGGGAGGAGGAGGAGGGGGAGGAGGAGGAGGAGGAGGAGGAGGAGGGAGGAGGAGGAGGAGGAGGAGGAGGAGGAGGAGGAGGAGGAGGACGAGGATGAGGAGGAGGAGGGGGGGGGAGAGCACCAGGAGGAGGAGAACGAGGACCACCAGGAGGAGGAGGAGGAGGAGGAGGAGGAGGAGGAGGAGGAGGAGGAGGAGGAGGAGAGAGCACCAGGAGGAGGAGGACGAGCAAGACGAGGAGGACGAGAACGAGGACTAGCAGGAGGAAGAGGAGGAGGAGGAGGAGGAGGAGGAGGAGGAGGAGGAGGAGGAGGAGGAGCAGGAGAAAGAGGAGGAGAGGAGGAGGCAGGCTGAGGCTGAGGCTGTGACTGCGACTGCCGTTGCCGCTGCGACTGTCATCGCGAATGCGACTACGACTGCGAGAACAGCAGAATTCTACAACTGGATTTTCATCTGAATCTTAAGGGGAATGCTTTTAGATATGCTTCTACACATCGCTGTTAGGTTGCTTTGCCGGGATAATTTTACCTAACAGCGAAGACTGATAGGTTTCTAGTAGGGTAAAAAGAGCTCACAGATCACTCCACAGGGGGGTCCGGGCAGGCGTTGGGAGTTGCCGGGCGGCAGGGGGCCCCGCTCGTTTTTCACCAACAGTCACACACTTCGTGCTCTTCGAGTTCCCAGAACTCCATTCCCAGGCTCGTTCTGGAGGGCCGGATGCAACAGTCACACACTTCGTGCTCTTCGAGATCCCAGAACGCCATTCCCGGGCCACATTCTGGAGGGCCGGATGCAACAGTCACACACTTCGTGCTCTTCGAGTTCCCAGAACTCCATTCCCGGGCCACATTCTGGAGGGCCCGATGCAACAGTCACACACTTCGTGCTCTTCGAGTTCCCAGAATTCCATTCCCGGGCCACATTTTGGATGCCCGGAGCCAACTGTAGGCCACTTCGTGGTCTTCGAGTTCCCAGAACTCCATTCCCGGGCCACATTTTGAATGCCCGGAGCCAACTGTAGGCCACTTCGTGCTCTTCGAGTTCCCAGAACTCCATTCCCGGGCCACATTTTGAATGCCCGTACCCAACTGTAGGCAACTTCGTGCTCTTCGACTTCCCAGAACTCCCATTCCTGGGCCACATTTTCAGCAGGGGCAAGAGCACGACGAGGAGGAGGACGAGCAAGACCAGGAGGACGAGGACGAGCAGGAGCAGGACGAGGAGCAGGAGGAGCAGGAGAAGAAGGACGAGCAGGAGGAGGAGGAGGACGAGCAGGAGGTGGAGGACGACCAGGAGGAGGAGGACGACCAGGAAGAGGAGGAGGAGGAGGAGGAGGGGAGGGGGAGGAGCACCAGGAGGAGGAGGAGGAGGAGGAGGAGGAGGAGGAGGAGGAGGACGAGGACGAGGAGGAGGAGGAGGGGGGGGGAGTGTACCAGGAGGAGGAGCACGAAGGACCACCAGGAGGAGGAGGAGGAGGAGGAGGAGGAGGAGGAGGAGGAGGAGGAGAGAACACCAGGAGGAGGAGGACGAGCAAGACGAGGAGGACGAGAACGAGGACGACCAGGAAGAGGAGGAGGAGGAGGAGGAGGAGGGGAGGGGGAGGACTACCAGGAGGAGGAGGAGGAGGAGGAGGAGGAAGAGGAGGAGGAGGACGAGGAGGAGGAGGAGGAGGAGGACGAGGAGGAGGAGGGGGGGGGAGAGCACCAGGAGGAGGAGAACGAGGACCACCAGGAGGAGGAGGAGGAGGAGGAGGAGGAGGAGGAGGAGGAGGAGAGCACCAGGAGGAGGAGGACGAGCAAGACGAGGAGGACGAGAACGAGGACGAGCAGGAGGAAGAGGAGGAGGAGGAGGAGGAGGAGGAGGAGGAGCAGGAGAAAGAGGAGGAGGAGGAGGAGGCAGGCTGAGGCTGAGGCTGTGACTGCGACTGCCGTTGCCGCTGCGACTGTCATCGCGAATGCGACTACGACTGCGAGAACAGCAGAATTCGACAACTGGATTTTCATCTGAATCTTAAGGGGAATGCTTTCAGATATGCTTCTACACATCGCTGTTAGGTTGCTTTGCCGGGATAATGTTGCTGTACTGTGGGTCGTGCATCGCGGTGTTTCCCATTTAGCTTGCGCAACCAATGGCAGATCCTGAGTTGTCATCAACCAAACCATTCTGGACCAGCTCTTCTTGTTACTTAATGCGAATGGGTTAGGTACGTCGCAAGGTATATTTGATACTTGTTCCAGTCCCGCCCGAGAGGCGCGGGGTTGGCGTGGGGCCGGGGCGGACGGGAGGGGGGGTGCTCACTGGACCGTTGTAGGGACTCCCGAGGAGAGGGGGGCGTCACCGTCTGAAAATTGAGACGACCAGGGCGGATTCCAAAACTCCACTGAGCCAAATTGAACGGGATTGAGCCTGGGACTTCACTGGACCGGAGGGAATCAAGCCGGATAAAGCCAGATTTGGGTGGTCTCGGCCAAGGATTATATATACACAAGACTGCATTGGCGCTGCGCGCCATGTACCTTGGTCCTTTGAGTTCTGCACGCAAGCGGAATGCGTGCGTGCGTACATGCGCGCATGCATGTAAACACGCGCGCGCGCATGCACGTTCCGTAAAAATGTCTAGGTGTATACAATATACTTACATGGTTGTAGGTGTGTATACAGCGTACGTATGTACATATAAATGTATGTGTGTAAGGGTATGAACATGCATATGCAACTCGTACGGGGTATCCTCGGGCATCTTCGCTGCATGCCACGAGACCCTCAACGACTGGGTCACAATGTAAAATGTCATGGGAGCAAAATCGATGAATGTTGGCATTCGGAAACATCGTGGGGGTGTTTTCGGGGCCTTCGTGGGCCGTTTTGACGTCTTCATGGGCCGTCCTGGGGCCGTCTTGGGCCGTCTTGGAGAGCTTGGGCCTGCTGGAGCCCCCTTTGGACCCATCTTGGGCACTTCCGGGGACCTCCCATGGCCCTTTTGGGTTTGTGCTGGGAGCCCTTGGGAGGCCTCTTGGTTCCATTAATGGGCCGTCTTGGGGCTCTCGTGGGCGATCGTGGGATCCGGCTCGGCCGTCTTGAGGCTTTCTTGGGGGCCTTTTGGAGCGTCTTGAGGCGATCTCCGGGGCTTTGAAACCGTCTTGAAAGCTGATGAAATCCGAAAGGCGAATATGCTAAACTTGTAAGTTTTACGAAGGGAATGGGACGATTTTTGTGGGTTCAAGGCCCCTTGGAAAGCTTTTTGGGGTGCCTTGGGGGTCTTTATGTTGGCATTCGGAAACATCGTGGGGGTGTTTTCGGAGCCCTCGTGGGCCGTTTTGGCGCCTTCATGGGCCGTCCTGAGGCCTTCTTGGGCCGTCTTGGGGAGCTTGGGCCCGCTGGAGCCCCCTTTGGACCCATCTTGGGCACTTCCGGGGACCTCCCATGGCCCTTTTGGGTCTGTGCTGGGAGCCCTTGGGAGGCCTCTTGGTTCCATGATGGGCCGTCTTGGGGCTCTCGTGGGCGATCGTGGGGCCCGGCTCGGCCGTCTTGAAGCTTTCTTGGGGGCCTTTGGGGGCGTCTTGAGGCGATCTCGGGGGCTGTGAAACCGTCTTGAAAGCTGATGAACGCCGAAAGGCGAATATGCTGAAATTGTGAGTTTTACGAAGGGAATGGGACGATTTTTGTGGGTTCAAGGCCCCTTGGAAAGCTTTTTGGGGTGCCTTGGGGGTCTTTATGATGGCATTCGGAAACATTGTGGGGGTGTTTTCGGGGCCCTCGTGGGCCGTTTTGGCGCCTTCATGGGCCGTCCTGGGGCCTTCTTGGGCCGTCTTGGTGAGCTTGGGCCTGCTGGAGCCCCCTTTGGACCCATCTTGGGCATATCCGGGGACCTCCCATGGCCCTTTTGGGTCTGTGCTGGGAGCCCTTTGGGGGGCCTCTTGGTTCCATTATGGGCTGTCTTGGGGCTCTCGTGGGCGATCGTGGGGCCCGGCTCGGCCGTCTTGAAGCTTTCTTGGGGGCCTTTTGGGGCGTCTGGAGGCGATCTCGGGGGCTTTGAAACCGTCTTGAAAGCTGATGAAATCCGAAAGGCGAATCTACTAAAATTGTAAGTTTTACGAAGGGAATGGGACGATTTTTGTGGGTTCAAGGCCCCTTGGAAAGCTTTTTGGGGTGCCTCGGGGGTCTTTTGGGCCGTCCTGACGCAATGGGAGTCCCTCTTGGAGCGCTCTTGTGCTGTCTGGGGCCTCCCTTGGGCCTTTCTGATGATTCCTCGGGTCGCTCTGGGTCTGCTGGCAAGGCGTTAGTGGAGACCCGGAAAGCCGGGTGACCTTTTCCAAGGACGTCCAAGGGAGCCCGAGAACCCCAGATCCCGGGGGTCCAGTTTAGGGGGGGGGGGGTTGGTTTGCCCCCCCCCCCCAGGCTTGTAAAATTATAGGAAGAAGAAAATGTATGTATGTATGTATGTATGTATGTATGTATGTATGTATGTATGTATGTATGTATGTATGTATGTATGTATGTATGTATGTATGTATATGTATGTATGTATGTATGTATGTATGTATGTATGTATGTATGTATGTATGTATGTATGTATGTATGTATGTGTGTGTGTATGTATGTATGTATGCATGCATGCATGCATGCATGCATGCATGCATGCATGCATGTATGCATGCATGCATGTATGTATGTATGTATGTATGTATGTATGTATGTATGTATGTATGTATGTATATATATATATGTGTGTGTGCCAACGCCGATGCTGAATCTAGCTTCTCTCGGAACCCGGCCTGCGGATCAACAAGCTCCAACGACGCCAAGCGCAGCTCAAGTCCGGCAGGGCTGGCAGGGGCGGCTGTGCGCTGGCTCTGTGCGCGGCGCCCGCTCGGCGGCGCGCCCCCCAAGAGATCTGCGCCGCCCCGTGCAGACAAAGCCGCTGCCCTCCGAAGTGCCACCCGGGCCATCCAACGGCCCTGCGCCCGAGATGGGGCAGCGCGCCACCCGGCCTTCGGGGAAGTTCCCAGAGCCTTCCGCTAAGACACGGGAGAACTCTCGGAAGGCGCGAGGGCTTCTGGGAAGCCCCGCCGCCTGCTGAGAAGGCCGGCCCCTGCACATCCCCCCCCCCGCCCCTGGGCGCGCCGCCGAATATCGGTCAAAATCGCCGTTGTCGGCCTCCGGGGGCCCTCGCCGGGCCTCGGGAGCGTCACGCGTTCGGCATTGGACTCCTCGTTGCCCACCGGCCTTCCACGGTCTTCGGCGGTCTTCCGAGCGAAAGTTTGATGGTGGTGTTTGGCAAGGGGTCCATGATCGAACGCCTCACGAGGTGGGGCTGCGCGCGCACGAGGAGGATGAGTGGAGGGCACCCTCTCTCATACTTCGGAGGCGCACGAACGTACACTAAGGTATGCGGGCCTTTAGCCCGAAATCAAGTGTCAATAGTTGGTTCAACGTCTCGCGTTCGCAAATCATTCCCGAACAATGCGCACTATGCTGTGCGTGGTGGCGGTCGCAGCCGTAGCCTCATGGTCATGCTCATGCTCGCGAATACTGGAGGGGCGCCAGATCATCAACCCTCCGACGTGGCAATCACACGTGCGGCGTGCACTTAGACCGCTTTGGGCCCATGCATCTATCACACCTTGTGGTGTCAGATCTCCTGCGTAGATTCCCACTCACCGCTGCTTCCCCTCCCAGTGGGGATCGAGCCGTTCATTGAGATTGAGTGGCGCCTGATTGCGAGCGTTACTGCTTCAAGGTTCTTCTTCTGTTCCTGAGTGATCTGGTGCTGGCCCTGAGTGAGCAGGTCGAGCACCTTCACAACATCCAGGTTTCGGGCAGGCCCCTTGAGGCGCCCGATACCCTGTATGAAATCCTCCGAACTTACCTCGTGCTGCCCTTTACCCGCGATCATATCGAAAAGCATGCTGGCGTCAGCAAAGCGTAACTCCATGGCCTCGAGCCATGTACGGATTGCTGGCTTGCTGACCACATCATCGAACTCTTCCTTCGTCAGCACGCCATCTCCGTCTGAGTCCGCAAACTTGAAGAGGCGCGTGATCTTTTTCGCTTGCTGCACATTCTGCCTCACCCTGGCCCTCACCATGATGAACTCGTCGTTGGCTGCAGCACTCAGGGTCTCCTGGATAAAGATCCGCCAGCGTGCCCTAAGGCACGGAGGTGAAGCGTCCTCAGGTCCATTGAAGTTCCTTGTGCTAGGGTTAGGTCGGGCATGCCCCCGTACAGGCGGATTTTGGAGGACAAAGCAAGAACAACCAAACATATTCAAACCATATTCCAAACTAGTCCAAAAAACATCACCAGACTATTTTGTGTGTGTGAGAGAGAGAGAGAGAGAGAGAAAGAGTGTTTTTGAATTTCCCTCCTGCAGAGGGACATGCCCGACTTAATGCTAACGGTTGTAGCGCTCTTTGAAAGGCCCCGGGCCCGGAGTTCCATGCGCTCCTGGTCGCTCTTGGGCGTTCCTGTTTTTTTTTCCGCGTGTTCCCCAGGCGGGCCAAGAAGGCCTCAGGAGGCCCCCAAGATGGCCAGAGAGTGCCCCGAATTGCCCGAAGAGCACTCAAAGACGCCCAGGATGGCCTCTAGGCGGTCCAGGAGACTCCCAAGACGCCCGAAGAGGGCCTCCAGAGACCCCCAAGAGGGCCCCGAGAGGTCAAACTCATGGATTTTGAAACGGTTTTTGAAGCATTTCGCTGTCGCCTCTTTGCGGGTTCCGTCGCTCCAAAACGTCCCGAGAGGCCCCCAAGATCTCCACAAGACGGCCTAAGAGGCCACCAAAACCATCCCTGGGCGGCCCACGAGGGCCTCAAGAGGCCCTCAAGACGGCCTAAAGAGGGCTCCAAGAGGGGACACCAAATTTGTCATTTCGCGTTCTCTGCCTCAAGATGACCCCTGAGACCGCCAACAGGCCCTCCAAAAGCCTACAAAAGCCCCAGGAGGCCCCGAGAGCCGCAAATCAGGGTCCAAGATTCTCCCAGACGGCTCCTTTCACAGGCCCCAAGACACCCAAAACCGCCGCCACGAGGCTCCCAAGAGGCCTCCCCGAGATCTCCACAGGCATCCAAAGCGGCACCTGACCTACAACCCAAGCGCAGTGGCGGGATAGGCCGAAAGCCACTAAACCTGGCCCAACACAGAAACGGAAAGAGCGCGTCAGAAACAGAAGCCGAATTTACTCACACCACCGTTCGTACTGGGAGCCTTGGCGTTGAGAGCTTGTTACGTCACCCCTGGCTCTTGGGAGCCGTGGTGTTCAGAGATTGTTGCGTTGCCGCCCGTTCCTGAGCCTTGGCTGGGCCTTGGTGTCAGAACTTGTTACGTCACCGCTCTCTGCTGGGAGCCTTGGTCTTATCAGCTTGTGTACGTCACCGTTCGCTCTTGGGAGCCTTGGTGTGAAGAGCTTTTTGCGTTACCGATCGCTCTTTATTTGACGTCTCTGGGCCTTCGTGGGAGTCCTATTGGGGCCCTTTTCGGGCCCTTTTGGGGGCCTCTCGGGGGCCTCTTGGGGGCCTCTTGGGGCTTCTTGGGGGGCTCTGTGGGCCTCCTGGGAGCGTCTTGGGGCGAAAGGGTAGACTTTCGGGTTCGTGGTCCCCCTCTTGGGGCCGTCTTGGGGCACTCTTTGGCCGTCTTGGGCGCCTCTGGGGCCGTCTTGGCGCCCTCTTGGGTCGTTTTGGGGGCCTCTTGGGAGCCCCTTGGGCCGTCTTGGGGCGGTCTTGGGGGCCTTTTGGACCGTCTTCAACGCCGTGCAAGCCGAAAAGCCTTGTATGCTAAACATGTACGTTTTCCCATAGGAAATGAATGATTTGGGCGTCCTGGTGGCCTCTTGGGGCGCCTCTTGGGGGCCTCTTGGGGCTTCTTGGGGGGCTGTGGCGGCCTCCTGGGAGCGTCTTGGGGCAAAAGGCTAGACTTTTCAGTTCGTGGTCCCCCTCTTCGGCCGTCTTGGGGTCCTCTTGGGCCGTCTTGGGCGCCTCTTGGGCCGTCTGGAGGCCCTCTTGGGCAATATTGGGGGCCTCTTGGGAGCCACTTGGGCCGTCTTGGGGCGGTCTTGGGGGCCTCTTGGGCCGTCGTCAACGCCGTGAAAACCAAAAAGCCGTATGTGCGAAACATGCACGTTTTCCTAAAGAGCATCGATGATTTTGGCCTCTTGGGGCCCTCTTGGGACGCCCCTTGGGCGCCTCTTGGGGACCTCTTGGGGGCCTCTTGGGGGCCTCTTGGGCCGTCTTGGGCTCTCTGGGAGCGCTCTTGGGCCGTCTTGGGGGGGAACCCGGAAAACATGCCCAAACCCGAAGGAAAACCCGACAACGGCCATTAACACTCATTCCCCCGCCCCCCCCCCCCTGTGGAATTACTACGACCCCCCGTTCTTTTGTATGGTGCGCCCAGGTTCACCATTGTCCCGAGTTATGGGAAACCTTGAAATACTATAACAAAAGGGAGGGGGGTCGTAATGATTCCAATTTTCCTGCAATTCGACCCTCTCAGCGGCCTCTCCCCACTGGTTTCCCGAAATTCGGAAGTCGAGTAATGGGCAATTTTACGAATTCTGTGAAAATGCCACTCCCCGTTTTCCCATAATGAGGGGTTAGAATTACGGGAAACCTGGAATCGGTATGAAAGTCTTTCTTTTTGTAACCATTCCAGGCTTCTTATCGTTCCATATGATGGGAAACCTAGAATCACCGCGAAGACCCCATCTTTTATTTTGTGTGGTGATTCCAGGTTTCCCATTCTTCCGATAACTCCGAATTCTGGAAAACCTGGGATCCACACGACAATCTGCCCTGTGTCGTTGTGCTTGTCCAGGCTTCCCAGCATTCGACTTCCGAACTTCGGGGAACTCTGGAGAGGCAGGGCTCCTCGGTGGTGCCCTGACGGACGGTAGTGACCACGCCCCGGGACCCCGGTGTCCCCATACCCATCGGTCAGAAGAAGTAGGTAGAAACATGAAGTAGGAAGGCCTTGGCAATAGATTGGGTCTCCGCCCGCCCCCTGAAGAGGAGGGAAGAGGGGAAGCCATTCCATCATTGAAGTAGGAAGGCGCTTCAAGTAGATTGGAACCTGGGAACCCAGAAACACCTACTTTTAATGATCGATGGGTAATTCGCCTTTTTCTGAATTGTTGAACGATGGGCAGCCCATGGCTGGACGGCAGCCGCCCCAAGAGGGCTCTAAAAGGAATTCCAGGAGGCCAGAATTATGGAGATTCGAGCTGGAGGAAGGGGAGGAGGAGGAGGAGGAGCAGGAGGAGGAGGAGGAGGAGGAGGAGGAGGAGGAAAAGGAGGAGGAGGAGCAGGAGCAGGAGGATGATGATGATGAGGAGGAGGAGGTACTTCCCAGCGATGTTTTCAACTCTCTTTCGGGATTCCGTAGGCCCCAAGATCGCTCCAAGACGGCCCAAACGAGCCCCCAAGAGGCCCGCGAGACGACCCAAGAGGGCCCAAGACGGCCCAAGAGGCTCCCAAGACGGCTCCATAGACCTCCAAGACGGACGGGCCTTGAGCGCCCAAAGAAGGACCCATGACTACCCAGAGAGGGCCACAAGACGGTCTCCGAAGGCCAAGGAAGGCTCCCGGAGGCCCCCAGTTGGCCCCCAAGAGGCCCCAGTTGGCCCCTAAGAGGCCACCAAGAGGGCTCAGAGAAGCCCCCAAGAGGCTCCCAGGAAGCCCCCAGGAAGCCACAAGAGGGCCTCAAGAGGCCTCTTCCTCCTCCTCCTCGTCCTTGTCGTCACTCTCATTCTCCTTTCTCTTTCTCTCCAAGGTGCTCCCCCCAACGGGGTTTCACAATGGCTTGGATAACACGTAGCCCATCAGCTTTGCAAGACTTTGGCCCACCGTTTGGCCGCACGGGCGTTTCCTAAAGGCAGGGGGCGGCGGTTTTTCGCCGTTGGCGTCTTCAATACCATTGAGCACTGCGACTACTGCGAATCCAATTACCCACTTGAAGACAACGCAGAATATATTGAACAATTCGTGAACGTCTTCGGAAAGGAAACGGCAGATCGTAGGCCAATTCGCCAGGGCAAGCTCCGACATGGACACCATCGACCGAGTGTAGGTGCCGAAATACTGATACAATTGGATTTTGGTGTTGTGTGGGAGTGCGGAATTTTCGTGCAGGTACTCCCACCGGACGAGAGTAGAGAACACCGTGGCGAACACTGTGAGAATCCCAAAGAACGTCAGAGACGAGAACAGCATCGCCCCAAGACTCCCCTTGAGCGCAGTGGCCATGAGGTGGAGAGGGTCCAGGAAGTGAAACTGCCTGATCGCGCGGACGAGGCGCCCCAGCCGCAGCAGGCGCAGGGTGCGCACGAACCTCAGCCTGGACAGGGGCCCGCTCAAGTTGGCGACCAAGATCGCGTTGGATGCCCAAATCCGAAGGCCCCACGCG